AGTGAACAAAAGCATCAGAGAGATCCTTCACAACACATCTCAGTTAAAATTTTTTAACTCATTAACTTTATTGAAAATCAATAATTATATAGCAAATTAATCATTGTAGACAAATATGGAAATGTGAAAGATATAAGATGTAGACAGAGTAAATATTAGAAAAATTTCTGAAATGAATACATAAGATTAATAATAGATTGCACATCATAAAAAATTATTTACAAATTTAAATGAAGGAAATAAATTCAGACCACAACCAGGACCAACCAATCATCTGAACTCCAACTTTGGACCTCCCTGAGAATAAATCTGAATTAAAAATGAATGCCCTGGGCCTGGGAGATAGCTCAGTAGAATAAGCGCTTCCCTGGCAAGAGCAAGGGCCTGAGTTCAATCCCTGGTTCCGCAAAAAAAGAAAAAGAAAAAGAATAAGAAAAACAAAGAATGCCCTGGAATTAGGCCAATCTAGGCTCAGGAAGCTTAAGTAGAACAGGAGATGACTTCTTAGCATTTGGGATATAACAGGATTGAAGACCGAGAAGGTCCTGCAGCGGAGGAGGAAACACACAGGTTTCCTTGTAAGAATGCCCATCTGGGACCCTTTGGAATTCATGTTGAAACCCAGGCTCCAGTGTGGTGGTATTAAGAGGTGGGGCCTTTAGGCTGGCCACAATCCTGTCTCCAAGCCTGGCCTACGAGGTATCTCCTCCCCAAGTGTAAAGAAGCTTAAAAGGGGCGTATGAAGAAAGTTCAGCCGCATGAAAGTACCAGCGCCTGCCTGGCAAGCACAAGGTCCTGAGTTTGATCCCTGATACCAAAAAAAAAGTTTAAAAAAATGCATATAATCCCACTCCCCAAAACTGATTTTTTAAAGTTTTAAGTCAGAAGGCACCTTAGCCTCCTGTGCTTTAAGAGGATTACACCCAATGTCATCCATCCTTTTATTTGAGATCATTCTGAAACTCATTTTCTTTCAAAACCAGACTTTTTTTTGTTGTTGTTGTTGCTCTGTGCCTATTTTTGCACAGAATCCCACCGTTGGACCTTCTTTTGGGCAAATAATCATTGTGGTCCATCTAACCTAAATTTCTTTTCTTCTTTTTTTTGAGGAATCGGGGATTGAACTCAGGCCCTTGCGCTTGCCAGGCAAGTGCTTATTCTACTGAGCTATCTCCCCGGGCCCCTAACCTAAATTTCCCTGTCCTCTAACCGATCGCTTTCTGAGGAAGATTAAGCCTCAGCTTCTTAGCAGCCCTCACAAAACACCGTGGAACACCTTTGGGATGCACACTGCCGCCCCAGACTCCACCTCCAGCCGGCCCCCGTGGGCGGGCCCTTCCCGGGACAGTTCCTGGAGTGCCCGGAAGTTCCTGTTGCCTAGCAGCAGAAGGCCAGCTTAGGCCCAAGGGCTCTGCGCAGAGCGAAGCTGCCAATAGCCGAGTTTCCGCGACTGTTTACGGTACTGGAGGCCTGAAGTCCTCCACGGGCTTTATCCTTTTGCCGCTGGAGTCTCTCCCGCGTCCAGCCAGGAACTTTCCAGCGCACCTGTCATCCCTCCTAGCTATCCTAACAGGGACCTCTTCCTGAGGGCTCACATGTCAGATTCCTTCTGTAATGTCGCATAATCTGATCCTGGTAAAACCATTCCGTCTACCACTGCTGTGGAAGCCAGGCTCGGAGAGCTTGAGGTATACAGCTGGCGTCATGCCTTGCTGGGGGACAACAGGCAACCTGCATATCAGACCCCCATTCAGAAGGCCTGAGAAAGAAGAGCAGAGAGAATTTACACATTTTACCCAAAATGCTTTATTTTCATAATGACTTATAAACCAGTGTTTATGCAAGGTAAATCCCTAAGGGGCTACAAAGCCCACTACACAAAACAGTGAACAGAAAGACTGTTGTAGTAGACGAGATACATCCGATCCCCACATCCAAAGCTTAATTTAGTTGATGCGAGACCTTCAGCAAATGCACACGACTTCAACCTTTGACATCTGGGCTGAGTAAAGGAGAGAGGAAGGGTGGTCAGGAGGTACCAAAGAACTGGAGCATGAATCTGGGATGGCTGCAGGCACCTGTCAGAGTGTCAGCCCTCGCTCCTTAAGCAGTTGCTTCAGAGCTTCTTCCAGTGGCTGGTTGGTTCCCTGAAGTCCCTTTACCACCTGGGCTGCCCACTCGAAGTACTCCTGGACATGATGTTCTGACCATCCTGGGAAAGTGAAGAGAGACCTGCTGTGGGGTGTCAGGGACAGCGTGGCCTCTTACCCTCGTGCTGGATGGAGGGCTTGGTGCCAGGCCAGGAGGAGCTCCTGATGGGATAATCTGCCCTGAAAACTACAGTTGGCCCAGGTATTGTGTGTTCAAGTTAGGAAACTCGTTCTACTGGTGCTGTAATGATTCTTGATGGAGAAACCCTGATTTTATGCTTGCTTGGTAAAAATAAGTTTGAACACATCATGATAACAGAACTTTGTCCTAAAACATGCTAATTCCAGGCTGAGTGTGGTGGTGCATGCCTGTAATCCCAGCATTCAGGAGGCTCAGGCAGGAGGATCGTGGCATGTTCAAGACCAGCCTGGGCAACAAAGGGAGCTCAAGGCCAGCCTGAACTGCACATTGAGACCCTGTCTCAAAAAGGGGGGGGGGAACTAATTTCAATTCTTTAAAACTGAATATTTACACCAAAGTTTATGCTCTGCAGGTGTATGCAGTGTTGGGCGTGTTGCTAAGGGGACACAGGACACAGTGAGATAAGGGACTTAATTGTGTCAATCATGGTTCCCACTACTGGTGATGTCAAGTATTTGTCCTTAATTGTTATTGTAATATATTTTCTCACTGTGTCTCTGAACTGCTAAGAGCATTAAACTTGATGTAAATAAATGATGCTCCTGAAAGGGCTCTCTGCCTGTTGTCTCACAGCCTGCAAGTTGTGTTTTTGTTTGTTTATTTGTTTTGGTACTGGGGATCAAACTTGGGACCTTGCACTTGCCAGGCAGGTGCTTATGCTGCAGAGCTATATCCCAGGTCCAAGTTGTGTTTTGTTTTAAATAAAGATTGCAGTATTTTATTGAGGGGGGAAAAAGCCCATTTTAGGAGGATTCTTTTGGGGAATTATGTATGCCCAGACCTTTTTGGGGGGAACAGACCAACCTGTCTACAGAAGGGAGATGACCATTCCCACCCCTCAGGGCCACCAGGGGCGGGGTATGAGGCCTACCAGCTGGAGTGCAGCGGTTCAGGTCCCTCAGATTGTACAGCTTGTCTGCTAGCTTCACCAGCTTGGCACCTGGACTGCTGTGTGGTGCCTGCTCCACCTGCAGCCGCTTCCTCTCCAGCTTGGGCAGAGTCTTGTCATCTGTCACCTCCTCCACCAAGCGCCGGACCTGGGTTCCAAAGTGCAGCTCAACCTCATCCAGGGTGGTGTCTGTGTCTTCCACCGTGTCATGGAGTAGAGCCGCCTGGAGACAAACTCCCCATCAGCCCTGTGATGCCAACCGAGGGGTACCCGTTACTGCTCCCCAGCCGAGCTTCCTGACAGCCAAAGGGCAGCGTTACCTGTAATACCACAATGTCAGTGACTCCTGCCTCGTAGGTCAGGATCCGAGCCACGCCTAGTGGGGGCAAAGCAGCAAGTCAGACCGGAGGGAGCCGCAAAACTGACTCTGACCTCTCACTCACTGGGCGACTGTGGGTAAATCTCGTACCCTCTTCTTCAGTCAACCGTGCCAAAGGAACAATCATGCCTACCCCACTGGGATGTCGTTAAACGGCACGCCACTCGATCGGTGCCTGGCACAAAGCTTGGACTATGAGACGCTCGGTGAGGTGCGCGCCCTTCGCTGTCCCTTCCCTGTCCCCACCACCCCTCAGGCGCCACAATGATTTGCTCCCGAGCCAGCATGCCCACCAATGGGGTGGTTGATGTAGGGGGTAGCTTCAGGATCCTTCCGTCTCTGGTGTCTGTGCTTTCGAGCCGCGAAGTCTGCAGCCTCCAACAGCTGGGCGATCTCTGAGCCCATTGCGCGGGTGGCGCGGGGCACTGTAGAAGGTGAGTCGTGGGAGCGTCTGCAGTGCCCCCTAGCGCGCCGGAGGCCGAGGGATTGTTGCAACTTTGATTCCCTTCCCTAAGGTCGGAAACACAGAAAAAACTTGTAGAGGGAGATCCTGCAATACCGCAGCTACCTCGTTCAACCTCGCTCTCTAAGAGCCTACGGTCTTGGAGAGCAGCGAGGACAAACAAGAAATCAGGCAGTGGCCTCACAGTGCGCCCCTAAGGTCAGCCCTGGAAGCCACAGGGGACTGTGGGGTCTGTATGGATATAAAGAACACTCCCAGGAAGAAAAAGCAATCTTCAGTTTGTCCATGCAGTGGACGTTTTCAAAATGCTGTAGAAATCGTTACTCCTGCAGCTACAGGCCCTGTTACTGAGGGCCCAAGAGAAGGTAGGGCCTGAGTCCTGACCTGGGATCACAACCTAACTGCTTCAGATTCAGGCTCCCAGGCCACAATGGTGTTTCCCCTCGAGCTGTCCTTGTTCTTAGTACTAGGACAAACTTTACATTGCTTTCTTGTGCTGTAAGGGCTTCTGCTTCAGTCCCCAGGCACCTGTTGGAGTCTCTAGGGTAATAAGTCTTTTTACAGCTGTTCTGGGAGCACCTTGTTGCCTGGCTTGGGTAAGCACTGGAGTAACAACTCTGCTGGCTGGTGGCCTTGGACCTTCTGGGGAAATTCCCTGCCTTAGAAATGGCAGCTATGAGATATGAGGAATAAGAGACCTGGAGAACCCCCAAAAGGTTTCCTTTGTAACACCATCAACAGGTGCCCAACTGGTAATTGAAAGTTAGTTAGGATGAAGCTTAGTACCTCTGCCTTCCTTGTAATTTTATTTATTCACTTATGTATTTAGTCTTTCTGAGATAGGATCTCTCGTTATGCATTTCAGGCTGGCCTTGAGTTCACTTAGTAGCCAAGACTGGTCTTGAATTCAAATGCCTGGATACAGGTGTGCACCTCCACACCTGGCTATTTTATTTATTTATTTTTATATTTTCAAAATTTTATTGATATACAGATAGCAATGAGACAGTTTCAAATCAAATCGGAAGTACAGTTTTATTTTATTTATTTTTGAGACAAAGTCTCCCTATGTATTCCAGGCTGGAGCTCACAGTAATCCTTCTGCTTCAGCCTCTTGAGTGCTGGGATGATAGTCCTATACCACCACACCCAGCTCTGCCTTCCTTTTTGTATCTGTCTCTTTTATTACCTTATAACTCTGAGTCAGAGCCCTGCTCAGCTTTGCATGTAGGTATGTTAAACACTTCAGGATCATCTATCTAAAAAGTAGGAATGCATAGTTTTTTGGCCCTAAACTCACCTAAACTGTCCCATTGTCCTTCAAGTCTGACCATACCCAGAGTAACTAAAGTAATTTTCAGGATTTGCACGGACATCCAACTGCCAGCTTTTAGAGCATCCAGTTCCAGACTCCCTAGACTGATGCCTAGGATCACCAGTTATTGTCCTAAACCTAGAGCCAACTCAGATTCCAGGGAGAACAAGGTCTCACAACCCACCCCATGGTGAGGTCAGACTCCAAACTGGAGCAATTACTCTGTGACAGTGCCAGGAACCAGGAACTGAACTATCCTCTCCAATGATACTGTGTCCCCAGCAAGGCCTGAGATACCTTCAACCAGACCAGGCTTCACCGGGGTTACAGCTATGCAAACCTCCAGTTATGTACCCCAATCCTCGCCTTTGTCCCCCTTTTCATAAAACTTCAAGCTTTTAAAAATCTTGAACTTCTGTCTGAGCCAGGCTTGGTGGCAAATGCCTGTAATTCCAGCACTCAGGAGGCTGAGCCAGGGAGATAGCTGTGAGTTCAAGGCCAGCCTGAACTACAGAGTAAGACTTTGTCTACTTTGTCTACAAATGAATCTCTATCCTCCCAGCACAGCCTTGCTGATGAAATCTCCTGCCCTTCCAACACTGCTTATCTCCTTGGTTAACATTTGGGGAAGGGTGGCCAAGCTGATCTGTAGGGACCCCCACAGCCAGGGCTTTTACCTTAAAGCCCTGTAGTACCTGAGAGATGGGGTCAGCAAGTTGCTAAGTGTACCCCATCAGACAGGGTAGCTTTCACATTCTGCTTGGTAGTGGGGGAGGGGAGAGCTGAGGCTCAGGGAAAGCTAATGGGAGGCCTAGTCCTTGGTTTTCACCTGGGCTTGGCGGTTGCCACGTTGTGTGGTTAGGGAGGGAAGTCCCACAGCTGGAACTGAGGTCTCTGTGGCATCAAATGCAACTGTCAGAATCCCTAGGGCTTCACAGCAGCTTAGAAGCTAGAGAGTGGTTTAGAGAGCAACGTGTTTGCTTCTGAGTACTTGTCCGATCTTCAGCCTGCTTGCTCAGCTTCTCTCATGCCTCATACCCTCCTCCAGTCCTCTGAGCCTTCTCTCCTTCAGCTCAGAAAACCCTGGACAGATGGGAGCCACAAGCCCTGCATTTTCCAGCAGATGATGGTCACCGAGACACTTCTGTTTCCCTAGAAGCCTGTGGTAGAGGCTCAGGTAGAGGAGCCTCAGGTTTGTGTTAATGGTTCCCTAGAAGCCTCTCTGATTTTTAATTCCTTACCGTCTTCAGCCTTGATGTAGAGGGAGAGATGTCAGGGTTCCTAGGACCAGGGTTGAGGTGCAGGTGACTCATGGGCTCCCAGAGGAAAAGGCCTGGACCTTTGCTGACAGGCCTGTCTCTCGGGCTGCTGCTGCTGTTCAGCTGGAAGACCCTGGCCCGGCCCACCTCAGGCTCAGGTACAGTCCTTTTTTCCCTGTGAGATCAGTCTTGGGAGCAGGGAGGGAGCTGCCCTTCTCTTCTGGGGGGGTCACGATCTAGTACAGTGGGATGTGAGCAGACGCCGCTTGCTCATCTTCAGTCCTCTTGCCTCTCTCTGCAGCACTGATCCACCACCCCTACTTGTGTCAGGCCACCTGGGATGCGGATGGCCGCCACCACCCGGGTTTCTTCTGTCCTCGGCTTTCTGATTCTCGGGAGGAGGCTTATTGCTGCCACCTGCAGGCTGCAGGGGGCTCCTGCTGCACACGCGCTGAATTTGAGGCCCTGTACCAGGTTAACTTGTCGGCTGTTCCACCCCCACGGGTTGTCAGGTGAGAGCTCCAATACTGTAGTCACAGACACACTGCCAGGGCGGTCCAGTATCTTTGGCTCTGTTTCTAAATTCTGGGACGGGGAGGTCTGCAGATTAGTAGAGGGTCAGAAAGCAAAGTGACAATCACGTGATCTCAAAAAACTGAAGCTAGCCAGGCACACCTGCATTCCCAACGTTCTGAGAGGCTGAAGCGGGAAGATCACAAATTCGACCCAGCATGGGCAATTTAGCGACTTGGCCGACACTCTATCTCGTAATATAAAATTAAAAAGGGCTGGGAATGTAGCTCTGGGAGAAGGCCCTGGGTTCTATCTCTAGTACTGGAAGGGAATGGTCAGGAGGCTGTGAAAGCAGGGAGGTAACAGGTAGGCTCTTGGTATGCGTTGGGGGCGCAGAGGTAGATCTTGGTGTCAACCCCGAAAACCAAGTACTCCCGTGTACTACACACATGATAGTGGGCGGCTCAGGGTAACCGTGAGCTCCTATATTTGTTTGTGATGCAAGTCTGAATTTGCTCAGGACTGAGATCCTGCGCTTCTGCGTGATCCTGACGCTCTCCCTCCCCGTGCCCACAGGGGCCCAGGCTCGCTCTTAGCGCTGAGCCTCTACAGTCTGCTGCTGGTGGCCCTGGTGACCGCTGACTTCGTGCACTTCTATCGCAGTCGCAGGCGGGGCAGAGGCTGTAGCAGCCGCACGCCCGGCCCTTCGTCCTCCACCGCGCGCCCCCTGAAGGTCCCGGGGGGAATACACTAGGCGCATCCCGGCCTGCACCGTGCCTGCTGGCCCGGCCCTCCCGCCCTTGGCCCCACCCCCTGGCCCCGCCTCTGACGCAGAAGGGGCGGGGCGTCGGTGTGCGCGTCCCAGGCCGCAGACGCTGAACGAGTGCTGGCTGGTGTTCCGGCGCCAAGATGACTGTGAGTGATCCCCGGACCCCCGAGCCCCGGCCCGCCGTCCCCGGGGTGCGTACTCAGCCACCTGTTCGTTACCCCTGCGTATTTGCTTGCCCATTCCTATGCTTCCCTAGGCCCTGTCCCTTGCCTTCCGTGGGACTCGCCCCCTCCTCTCCTCGCAGCTCCCCTGAGGCCCCGTCCCCCAACCCCGACATTCTCGCCTCTCCCCCACAGGCCATCTCGGCGGAGCAGCTGCGCAAGGAGGGCAACGAGCTGTTCAAATGCGGAGACTACGAGGGCGCCCTGACCGCCTACACCCAGGCCCTGGATCTGGGTGCCACGCCCCAGGACCAGGCCGTCCTGCACCGGAACCGGGCCGCCTGCTACCTCAAGCTGGTGAGGGACAGGGACCACCGGCCTCCTGCCTACCCGGCCTCACTTTTCTTGGTCACTCACGGTTGTCGGTGTCTCTGGGCCTCAGGGCGGCGTGGCATCATCAATGGGGTGACTGAAGGACAGATCCTGCTGCTGGTTAGTGCCTAGGAAGGGAGATGACTTGCCTTAGGCTCCTAATCTTGCTCTTACAGGAAGAGTATGAGAAAGCAGAAACGGAAGCATCTAAAGGTAGGGGAATGGGCCCTGGTGTGGAGCCATGGACAGGGCTTCTGTGCTGGGCAGGGGCGCAGGGACCACAGCTCCATCTCTGCCTTGGCCCTGAAACACGCCTGCCTTCTTTCTTTCCCATTTTCTCGGGCATTTCCTTTTCTGCAGCTATTCTCACCTTTTGAGGCTGGAGTACAGAGCCCCACTTTCGTCTCCCCACTTTCCTCGGGCCCTCGAGATCTTTCCCTACTGCTCTTGCCTGGATACGGTGGCTTCTTGGGTGTTGACAGAGCTCCTGTTTGTGCTCAGCCATTGACAAGGACGGTGGCGATGTTAAAGCCCTTTACCGGCGAAGTCAAGCCTTAGAGAAGCTGGGCCGCCTGGACCAGGCTGTCCTTGACCTACAGCGATGTGTAAGCCTCGAGCCCAAGAACAAAGTTTTCCAGGAGGCGCTGCGCAGCATTGGGGGGCAGATTCAGGAGAAGGTATGTAGGATAGGGGAGAGCTCTGGGTACTGACCTGTGGGAAAGGGATCTGGTTGCAGCTGTAGGAGCATCTCTAGGGAGAGTGGCAACTGTGGCTGTTGAGTGGAGGATGATGCTCAACTTCGCCAGTGGATAGGGAATGCAAATTAAAACAATCATGTGGCACTTTTTTGGTGCTCTGTTTCCTAAAGTTTGTACACTTTATGAGGACATGCAGACACCAGGAGTGAAGCTGGAGAGACAGGGTCGGTTATGACTGCAGAGGGCTGGTAAATTAGTACAGCTTCTCTGGAGAGTATGTTTCCATGTCTATTGCAGTGTTTATACACCTGTTTATTTGCTGGGGATTATCCCAAGGCTTCACTTAGGCAAGTGCTCTACCACTGAGCTATAGCCCCAACCCCTTTATTAAAATTTTGACTGAACATATCCTATGACCTAGTGTGTTTACTTCTTACTCTGTAGGAACCCTTATTCATGTGCGTGTGTAGGCGTGTGTGTATTTATCTCAGCCTGTATGTAGTAAGGAAAACTTGGAACATGTCTACATGGGAGTAATAGGGGAACAGCTAAGAAGACTGGGTGATGTTCTTATTACAGACATCTAGATTGTAGGGTTTTTTTGTTTTTTGTTTTGTGTGTGTGTGTGTGTGTGTGTGTGTAACTGGGGATTGAACTCAGGCCCTTGTGCTTGCCAAGGCAGCGTTTATTCCACTGAGCCATCTCCCCAGCCCCCTAGATTGTAGTTGATGGGAAGAAGGTCTTCATGAGTGAAAGAAATGCAAGATACACAATAACACATAAGTAGGATGTTATTTATGGTGAAAAGATCTCCAAATGCATACCCAAAACAATACTGTTTTTTTGTGAGTATGCTTGGGTAAATATATATAAATAGAAATGAAAAATACTTAATAACGTATACATCAAAATGATAATTTCGTGACCGTTGGGGAAAGGAATGAGATTGAGCTTCCTTTCCAAAGGAGGCTGATTTGTCTGTAACTATATTTTTAAATTAAGAAGTATTATTGTGTGTGTGTGTGTGTGTGTGTATATATATATATATATATATATATATATATATATATATTTTTTTTTTATTTTTATTTTTTTCTATTTTTTAGGGAAGGGTCCTCAGGGTGTTCAGGGCCTCACTACTAGATTGGACTCATAGTAATCCACCTGTTTACAGCCTCCTAAGAGCTGGGATTACAGGCACGCACCACCACTCCCAGTCTCAAGAAGTATTGTTGTATATGTCCTGTTTTTGCCTTTTTATGTGAGATCTATATATGTATATATAAATCATTTAAAAAGGCACTAGAGATTGAAACCAGAGTCTTGACATTAAGCTAGGCTGATCCTCAGCACTTTTTTTTTTGAGATGAAATGTCACTAAATTTCTCACATTAGGCTTGAACTTGCAGTGTTTCTCCCTTAGCCTCCCAGAGTACTGCAATTACAGACATGCCTGGCTGCTTTTTTGTTGTTGTTTTTTATTTTGAGACAGGGTCTTGCTAAGTTCTCCAGGCTCAAACCTGTGATTATCTGCCTCAGCCTCCCAAATAGTAGGGGTTACCATTTTGTGCTGCTGTACCTTCCTACCATAGTAGATGTGTTTTGAAATTGAGTTATAAAAATGAATTGAAAAACCATCATAAACTATAACCAAGCTTGAATTAACCAAATAGTTTGGCCAATGATAGTTAAAATGCTGTTACAGTGGAAACCACTATTAACTGACCAGTTTATTGAAAGGTTGAGACTTGGGTAAGCAAATAGCTTTCCTCTCAGCACCAACTCCTGAGCAGCAGCAGCTGCCTAGGGCACTGTGTTGAGAAGGATTAGGAAATAGATTTTCTGAGGTTAACCAGGGGCCATGTTGTGATCGGTTAGTCATGCCTGCCACAGATACAAAAGGGGGAGAGGGAGTGGTACATTCTGGATTTATGCTCTTGTCTGTGTTCAGGACCTTGGCAGGGTAGGGTATTAGGTTTAGGATGATTTTGCCCATGCAGATTATTTTTTTAAACTGTCAAGAGAATTGTGGCTGGGAGTGGTGGTCCACATCTATAATCCCAGTACTTGGGAGGCTGAGACAACAGAATCACAAGTTCAAGGGCAGCCTTGGCTACATACAAATTCAAGACCATCCATAACTACATAGTGAGACCTTGTCTCAAAAAAACCAAAAAAGGAAAAAATCCAAAGAGGAACCCAAGGGAATGTCTGCAAGACATAAATGCCAAGCTGAGTGCTGCGGCGGCACACACGTAGATGTTCCTGTGTGGAAGACAGGAACTGCTTGCAGAAGCAGCGCTGTCCTGGTTACCAAGCCGGAAGTAGGTCAGAGGAAAATGGCCTCAGGAAGTTAGGAGAGGCTCCCAGCAAGTCTCTTCCTGTTCCTGCCCGGCGTGGCATGGTGCTGGGACTGATCCCAGTTGTCCTCCCTGCTGCCCAGAGATGGGAGCCAGGCCTCAGGAACAAGCAGGGACACACGGTCTCTGGCCAGGAATGGTAACTTCTTTTGCATCTTGCTGGTTCGTTGTAGGTACGATACATGTCCTCAACAGATGCCAAGGTAGAGCAGATGTTCCAGATCCTGCTGGACCCAGAAGAGAAAGGCACTGAGAAGAAGCAGAAGGTATATCCCTGGTCTGGGCCAGCGGGCTGAGCCCCCGCCACAGCTATCATCCTAGGCCTCGTTCACCAGTGTGGCCCTCAGATGCTTACAAACCTGAGTCACGTAACCTACGTGCACGTCCAAGGGTTTAGAGCCCAATTGTGAACCAGGGAAGGGGACCCATTCACAGTGCTCCTGGCCAGGGGCTGTGCCAGAGCTGGATGTACTGAGGTGACTGGGCACAGCCCTGCCCTTCAGCCTCTGCCAGGGACTCAGTTCACAAGCACTCATTTCCTGTTGTTGTCAACCCCAAAAGCAAGTTCTTTCACCTCTGTAAGCAGCTGAAGTTTTTTTGGATTTATGGCCACTGTCACTCAGCTGCTACGTGGGAGCCATGGTGTCCAGAGCTCAGGGCTTACGCTTGCTGTGTCCCGTTCTGGGTGCAGTGTCGTGGTCACGGTGCACTTCCTCTGATACAGGCTTCTCAGAATCTGGTGGTGCTGGCGCGGGAGGATGCTGGAGCTGAGAAGATCTTCCGGAACAATGGGGTTCAGCTCCTGCAGCGCCTGCTGGACACAAGAGAGACAGACCTCATGCTGGCAGCCTTGCGCACACTGGTCGGCATTTGCTCTGATCACCAGTCCCGGGTAGGTGGGGAAGAGATCTGTCTGTCCTTCCACCCACCTGCCTATCCATCCATCTGTGCTTCCATTCCTCTTATCCCAGAAAGAACTTAAGGCAGAGGATAGAAGACAGGAAAGGAAAACCAACACCAGAAAGAGCACTGTAAGGACAGGATAGGGCCAGGAAGGGCAAAAGCAGCCTCCAGCACCCAGGGCCCTGCTTTCCTGTAGCCAGCTTCCCAACATGGGCTCGCTGCCTTGCTTGGGGTTCCCATGGTGAAGCTCAGAACAGCATCTGTCCTGGCTCTGCATCTAGGTCTGACTGGCTTCTTAGCTAATGATGTGGTCACAGGTCCCCCATGACATCTTTACCATTGAGATAGTGACCTGATTCTTAGCACAGACTGTGGTCTCTAGCAAGAACAGTCCTGTTCCTGGGCCACTGTGGTAAAATCCCTGTCCCCAGCTCTCACCTCAGTGGCTTAATGCAGAGAACAGGAACTTGACTCTTGGATACTTTGGAGACACCTACAGTTCCTGCTTAGGAGTGTAGTAGGAAGTACTCAGTGCAGCGTGCTTAGGCCAAGTGCAGGCGGTATTTCTGGGCCAAGCCATTTACTTTGTATTACCTTTGGCCTAGTCCTTCTGGGTTCTCCAGCTTAGAAATGAGGTGGGGGCCTTGCAGGCCCCTCCTTTGCATGTCTATACCCCCAGGTGGGGTCAGACCCCAGGTCTGGAACTGGATGAGAAACTAGATGTCCTTGGATCTGGCAGTTAGGAGCCTGTGTCTCCTTCGGGAGATGTGAGCCGCAGTAGTGCTCCTCAGCCCAAGCAGTCCCTGTCTTCTGGTGCTGGACTGTTCTTCAGAAAGCCTTTGCAACAAAGCCATCCTGTCGTGACCCCATTAGACAGTGACATGTACTTTTCCCTGGGTGCTGGTCCTTCCTGCCAGCTGTTGTCTCACCTTGGGCTACCCACTCCAGCTCTGAGATAGCAATCTCTGCCCTGCTCTGCACCATGCTGAGACTGTCTGCTTCTCTCCCCAGACAGTGGCAACCCTGAGTGTGCTGGGAACTCGGCGTGTGGTGTCCATCCTGGGTGTGGAAGACCACACTGTGTCCCTGGCTGCCTGCCACCTGCTACAGGTGATGTTTGATGCCCTGAAGGAAGGTGTCAAGAAGGGCTTCCGAGGCAAGGAGGGCGCCATCATCGTGGGTGAGTGGAGGCCAGGCTGGGACTGTGTGGAGGTTTCTGTTGCAGAAGGGACAGGACTGAACCAGCCAGGCCATTTCTTTTGGGACCAGACTTGTGGCTGCACATTGTCCACATTTTACTTGAGTCTAAGCAGTCGAGATGCCTATGGGGGAGGCCGGAGCTCAGCCCAGAGCCCAGCATGCAGGAACCCCTTCTCTGTCACCCTAGCTTGGTGGGGGTCAAGGGTCACAGGCTGGTTACTGTGGAGCCCAAAAAATGTCCCTTTTGTTGGGCAGGGCTACTGAGCTTGAACCCAGGGCCTCACTGACCATGCATGTGCTCTTGTTGCCAGAGCCCGGCCGGGAGCTGAAGGTCCTCATCAGTAATCTCCTGGAGCTGCTGACTGAGGTGGGCATCTCTGGCCAGGGCCGAGACAATGCCCTGACCCTCCTGATCAAAATGGTGCCCCGGAAGTCGCCTAAGGACCCCGACAACAGCCTCACTCTCTGGGTCATTGATCAAGGCAGGTGATACAGTTTACAGAAGCTGGCTCGGGTAGCTAAGGCCTGCATGTCCCTAGGAGGGGTAAGAAAAGAGAACACAGTGGCCTGTTCTTTCTTTTGTTTTGTTTGAGATAGGGTTTCACTATGTAGTCCAGACTGAACTCTGTTGCTGAGGGTGGCCTCAAACTTATGGCGATCCTTCTGCTCCAGCCCCCCAAGTGTTGGGATTACAGCCATGTGCCACCTAGCCTGGTAGTTTAGTTTTTGAGATAGCACTTAGTTTTATAGCCCAGGCTGGTCTGGAACTCATGGTCATCCTGCCAGTCTCTGTCCAGGGATCACAGGTTTCTACCACCATGCACAGCTAAAGTCTTAATAGTGAGCATGTATTTTATACTCAAAAAAAGAACACATTTTATTTATTTTTTAAATAAAATTTTATTTTATTTGTGTGTGTGTGTGTGTGTGTGTGTGTGGCCAGCTCAGCCCACCAGGGGGCAGGGCTAGCTGGCATGTGGTGCTGGGGGATTGAACCACAGTCCCTGTGCTTTGCTAAGCTTGTTCTAAATAGGTGCTTTAGACCACTGAGCCATCACACATTTTAATATATCAATGCATACTTCTCTTTTGCCCCAAAAGATAAATAAGCAAAGCCTTTGAATACATCTACCAAGCATCTTTGGTCATCCTGGTGTGCCTCCAGGACCTGGTACCCTGTCCTCCTTAAGGTTACAGAGCAGGAGTGGCAAAGTTCAGAGCACTGTGCAGGATGAGGCCGGCGCACAGAGCTCCCGAGGGTAGCAAATGGGCCAGCCAGGTCCCCGTGTGCTTTGCTGCCATGTCTGACCTCTGCAGTCTCCTGTCTGAGAGGGGTCCTACTTCTCTGTGTCTTTTTCAAAGCCACCTCCCTTTTCCTGCAGGCATAGCATTAATGACTTGTCTAAGTGGATACCTTTTTCAGGTCTGAAAAAGATCCTGCAGGTGGGCGGCTCCCTGCAGGATCCTGCTGGGGAACTCGCAGTGACAGCAAACAGCCGAATGAGCGCCTCCATTCTGCTCAGCAAGCTCTTCGATGACCTGAAGTGTGATGCCGAGCGCGAAAATTTCCATCGACTCTGTGAGAGCTACATCAAGTAAGGCCACCGCTCGTCCCATTACCAGGGTCGGGTAGTGGAGTGTGGACTCTTGGACAGGGATGAAGGGCTTATCCCAGGAGAGAAGCTTGGGGAGTGCCAGTAGGGGCTGGACAGAATCTAAGGCCACTTTTTGTTTCATTTTTCTGAGATGGGGTCTTACTGTGCTGCTGGGCTGGCCGTGGGCCCCTGCCTCACACCTCTGAGTGGTGGCAAGTACAGTTATTTGCATTGTACCTGGCCCACACCTTGTTCCAAAGTAACCAGGGCAGGAAGGTTCACTCAGATTGATTTCCAGTAATGTGTCCAATACATCCAGCACAGATTGTGTTTACAGAGTGCTCACTATCTGTCCCAACCAAGGTGGACACATGACAGTCCTCAGCCAAAAGGAGCTGTCAGGGGAGACTGAGGATGTATTATGGGACAGACAGCAGGATCTCAGACTGCACCAAGTTCAGGAGAGGGGGTCAGCAGCCAGGGAGGCATGTTTGGAAGTGGAAAGAAAACTGCTGCCAGGTGTATTGGTGGTATGCACCTGTAATCCTAGACTCTAGAAGGCTGAAGCAGGAGGATTGCAAGCTGGAATCCTGCTAGGCAGCATAGTGAGACCCTGGCTCAAAACAGAAAGGCATGTAACTTGGCACGAAGCCCTTGATTCTACCCAAGACTGCAAAAAGAAACAAAATTGTGATTGTTATGGTATAAATGTCACAGTCTTTCCCATGGCAGTTTTTGTTGTTGTTGTTTTGTTTTTTGTTTTTTCTATTTCTGCCTTGGATAGTAGAGGGGAAGAGAGGGAAGGCAAGTCCCTTTATGTATGCTTTGCTGTGAGCGCCATCACCTTGTATCCCTCAGGAGCTGGTTTGAAGGCCAAGGGCTGGCTGGGAAGCTGCGGGCTATCCAGACTGTGTCCTGCCTCCTGCAGGGCCCGTGTGACGCTGGCAACCGGGCCCTGGAGCTGAGTGGGGTCATGGAGAGCGTGATTGCCCTGTGTGCCTCCGAGCAGGAGGAGGAGCAGCTGGTAGCCGTGGAGGCGCTGATCCATGCGGCTGGCAAGGCCAAGCGGGCCTCGTTCATCACCGCCAATGGTGTCTCGCTGCTGAAGGACCTGTACAAGCGTAGTGAGAAGGACAGCATCCGGATCCGGGCACTGGTGGTATGATGCTGGGGTGGGCTTTGGGGCTCTGGGAGAATCTGTGGTGGCAGAGCTCTGTCTGGGCGAGAGGCCTGGACCTGCTTCCTCTTACCACAGGGCTTCTGGGTAAGTCAGGGAGGTGAGTCACATAGAGAAAGGACACTGGGCCTCTTGTCCTTAGGAGCTGATGGTCTGGGGACAGTTGAGCCCTCCATGAAACTGCTGTTGACCCATTGAAGTTTGTCCACCTCCGGCAGAGACCTGGATTTCTATGTCCCATGAGGGCTTGACTTCCTAAAACCCCGTCTTTTCTCTAGAAGTGTTTTTTGGCTCTGCTTGCAAAGAACTCTTTCATAGGCATAGGAAGGGCCAGCAGTTCTCAGTGAGGACTGGGAAGGGGTGGGACCCAGGATGCTGCAGTCACCAGTGTCATTCCCTGACACGCTGTGTCATGTGGCCATCCAGGAGGTGATTATGTTGTCCAGTGCTGTGGGGTGGCCTGGTGGGGTGTGCTGATCAGTGTGGGTGACCTCCAGAGGGCCATGGGGGAGGCCCAGGCCAGGGCTGAGGAGCCCAGCTCTGGCCTGCATCCTAGGAGCTAGGCCACTGGTCTTGTCCACTCCCCAGGGACTCTGCAAGCTCGGCTCTGCTGGCGGGACTGACTTTAGCATGAAGCAGTTTGCTGAAGGCTCCACTCTCAAACTGGCCAAGCAGTGTCGGAAGTGAGTTGTATGGCAAAGCAGTGGCTCCACACCTGCCTGATTGCCTTTGTGAGCAGGGCTTTTAGAGCCCTTCCCACTGCCCCCACCCCAGGAAGACTGTTGGAATCCTGGCACGTGACCTGCTTTCATCATGTTGAGGGGTGCTCAGGCCTTGGGGTCCCCATTTTGTGCTTATTTGCGTCATACTCCCTAGGTCTGACATTGTCCCCTGCCCTGCGTGTCCCCAGGTGGCTCTGCAATGAGCAAATCGATGCAGGCACACGGCGCTGGGCTGTGGAGGGCCTGGCTTACCTCACCTTTGATGCCGACGTGAAAGAAGAGTTTGTGGGGGACGGGGCTGCTCTAAAGGCACTCTTCCAGCTCAGCAAGGTAGCTCTTGGGTTCCTGCTGTCACTGTAGGGACTGTGTCCCAGGAAGAAGGGCAGCTGTACTCTGTGGGGGCGGGTACCAACAGTGTCAGGAAGGGTAACCTCTCTGAAAGGGCTGGGGATACCGACTGGGGCTCTCTGAGTCCAGGGGTCTGGAATGCTTCTGTCTCCTGGCAGTCTGAGGAGAGGTCTGTGCTCTTTGCGGTGGCCTCAGCCCTGGTCAACTGCACCAACAGCTACGACTATGAGGAGCCTGACCCCAAGATGGTGGAGCTGGCCAAGTATGCCAAACAGCATGTGCCTGAGCAGCACCCCAAGGTGAGGGCTGCTGGAAGGCAGGTCTCCCCATTCTTGAGACCTTTGGCCCAGGGAATCTGGCTGGAAGTGGGCCATTTCCCTTTTATGAACATCAATGTCCTCGGTGGGGAGGGTCCCCTCTCCCAGTTCAGTGGACAAGGCCCCCTGAGCTGCCTCCCTTATTAGGACAAACCTAGCTTCATACGGGCACGAGTGAAGAAGCTGCTGGCGGCTGGTGTGGTGTCAGCCATGACGTGCATGGTGAAGACTGAGAGCCCTGTGCTGACCAACTCCTGCCGAGAGCTGCTCTCCAGGTAAGCTGCTGGGGGACGCTGCACCCCAGCTCCTGCCAGGCAGGCCCCATGCTGTGGGCCACCACTGGCTGCCTGCTCTATCCCTGCAGGGTCTTCCTGGCCCTGGTAGAAGAGGTGGAGGACCGAGGTGTGGTGGTAGCTCAGGGTGGGGGCAAGGTAAGTGACACTGGCCTCCTATCTGGGACCTGGGACCCACTGGTTGCTGTGCCAGAGGTTGGGCTTAGCAGGACACAGAAAGACATTAGTGTGAATAGCAGAGCCATCACCCCAAGAAGAGGGCCAGTGTGGCTCCCCAGGGTCCTCCTCACTGCCTCTAGGTCCGAGCCCCCTTCTCAGTGGCTTTTTTCCTCTGGCCCGGCACTTGGCCCAGTCCAGGTCTGGCCACATCTGGGTGTTACAGCAAGTGCTAGGGCAGGGTGAGGAGACCCAAGGAGTGTTGTCAGCCTGGACAAGAGGGAAGGCTAAGGGACAGCCAGAGCTCAGGGTCCTGTGTCCATCCTGGTGCTGAAGGGCTTATTCCTTTAGGCACTGATCCCACTGGCCCTGGAAGGCACCGATGTGGGGCAGACCAAGGCCGCCCAGGCCCTCGCCAAGCTCACTATCACCTCCAATCCAGAGATGACCTTTCCTGGTGAGCGGGTGCGTGCCACCTTGCCCTGAACCTGTCCTCTCTGCCCTCTCCCTGGGCCCTGATGGCTGCTGGCCGGGCCTCCCTTGGGACCAACAGCAAGCAGTGGCTTGCTCAGCCTGGGTAGAGAAGGGTAGCCTCAGAGAACAGTTCTGAGGTGGACTCCTGCCTGTGTGGTGGTTGGGTTGTGGGGGCAGTGGCAAATGGCTCTGACAGTGGCGTTTGGATCAAAGATCTATGAGGTGGTCCGGCCCCTCGTCTCTCTGCTGCACCTTGACTGCTCAGGACTTCAGAACTTCGAGGCGCTCATGGCCCTAACAAATCTGGCTGGGATCAGCGAGAGGCTCCGGTGAGGCCTTGACCAAGCACTAGAATTGGGATCATCCCTCATAGTGTTTATAGCTGAAAAATGCTCCCTAGTTATTGGTGCGTGTATGTGTATGCTTGTGTGTGTTTCTGTGAACTGAGAAGTCCTTTTTAAATTTTGTATTATGAAAGAGTCTAAGTCACTGAGTTACCTAGGATGGCATAACTTGTGGTCCTCCTGCCTCAGCCTCTCAAGAGTACTGGGATTACAGGTGTGTGCCATCAGGCCCAGCTAGTCTTTGGCTTCTCTGGGCCTCACAGTGACTCCTGCATCATGCACATGAGTCCAGGAGACACCACCTCAGTTCAAACCCTGGGTTCACTAGGCACCAATGCATGACCTCAAACAAATTACTTCTCTGCCTCAGTTTCTCCCTCTGTGGTTGATTATATGTGGCTCATGGAGTAGTGGTAAGGACAATGAAATGAGAAAATGCACGTACAGGTGTTCCGTGTACAAGTAAGTGCCTGGCCCCAGGTGGTGGGCTCAGCCAGGATTTGGGCACGTGGCTCACCACCGGCTTCTTTTTCCTCCTGCAAACTATTAGGGTAATCACCCCTGTGCCTTCACAGCAGGATTGGGAGGATTAAGTAAGACACTGCATGGCCTGGTCAGGGCGAACACTTACATCTTCCTGCCACCATTCCTGCCCCCATTTCCTGGTTGCAAGCATTGTGCACAAATCTGGTCAGGAGATGAGTGGTACAGCTCCTGCCTGGTGCAGGAGGACCTCGGGCATTGCCAAGGGGCTATGGGGACAGGAGCTCTGACGGTGCTGACCTAGGTCCACCTCTGTTTTGCAGACAGAAGATTCTGAAGGAGAAGGCTGTGCCCATGATCGAGGGCTACATGTTTGAGGAGCACGAGATGCTCCGGCGGGCGGCCACGGAATGCATGTGTAACCTGGCCATGAGTAAGGAGGTGCGGCCGACCGGGAGCTTGTGATGGGCAGTGGTGCACAGGGCTCTGTGCTCAGCGCTGGCTTCATGTGCAGCTAATACTGTCCTTCCCCCCTACTCCCCGGCACTGGGCCACAGGTACAGGACCTCTTTGAAGTCCAGGACAGTGACCGGCTAAAGCTGCTGGTGCTATACAGTGGAGAGGACGACGAGCTGCTACGGCGGGCAGCTGCTGGGGGCTTGGCCATGCTCACCTCCGCGCGGCCCTCACTATGCAGCCGCATCCCCCAAGTGGTCAGTGCCTGGGTGCCCTGAACTTCTGCTCCAGGGAGAACATATCCTAGGGAGTGGTTGGGTTCACCAGCATTGAACCTGGTGCTGTTGGTCACACCCACCTCTTCCTTACAGACCACGCACTGGCTGGAGATTGTGCAGGCCCTGCTTCTGAGCCCCAACCAGGAGCTGCAGCACCGGGGTGCCGTGGTGGTGTTGAACATGGTGGAGGCCTCAAGGGAGGTTGCCAGCACCCTAATGGAGAGCGAGGTGCTGGAGATCCTGTCAGTGCTGGCAAAGGGCGAGGCTGGCCCCGTCGCCAGGGCTGCCGCTGCCTGCCTGGCAAAAGCGGTAGAATACGGGCTTATCCAGCCCAGCCAGAGTGGAGAGTGAGGGGCTGTTCGCCCCGCGGCTCAGGGACATACTCGCAGTGGCAGCACTGAGAACAGAGCAGCTCTGACTAAGCACAACTTTGCTGAGCACAGTGCCACTCCCCCCACCCTCACAGCTGGCTCTGATGTCTCCTGATCCAATTTAAGGTCCACATTCAGCCACACCGCCGTGCTCTACCAGCACTGCCTCCAGGCTCACCCACTTGGACGGCGCAGGAGGTGGGGAAGGTGCTGCCCTGCCCCACCTGTGGATTCTGGGCCTCAGGAAGTACACTCCACTGCCTCAGCTCCTGTGAGCATCTGTCACAAGGCCTGCTGGAGGCCTGCCTGCTCTAATAAAGTGTGTGGGACTCAGACATGTCGTGCCCAATCACTGGGCAGAGAAGGCTGTGGGTTGTGGAGGGAGGGACAGGCGATGCGCAGGGGATGGATCAGAGGCAACCTCTAAAGAGGGTTCCACGGGATTTCCTGCCCTAGAGCCACTGACTTGATTCTGACCAGGTGGTGAGCCCAAGAAGCTAACCAACAAACTGCATTTTTGTGGAAATAGTTTCAGGGTACATTCTCTGAAATGCTGGGCCCACAGTACGCTTCTTTATAAAGTTCTTGGTGCCCTCTTGTCAGACAGTGCTCAGAATTTGGGGTGGTGCCCTGGGCATTCGTGGATAAAGGGCTTTATTCGCTCCAAGAGTCACCTGGAGGAAAAGTGAGCGCCTGCCAATAGCGAGCCATTTCCCGAACCGGAAGCGCTGGACAAAATTTATTGGCCCTGCAGATGTAAGTGACGGAGTTCGAGCCAATCGGTACAAGAGGGAGGTACCGCCTACAGCCACTTCCTGTTCGCGTGGGAAGTGCTAGGCGGCGGAAAAGCTGGAGTGGCTGTGTCTGCAGATCAGGGGCATCTGCCCACCAGCAGTTTAGCTCGAATGTTTGTAGTTATCCTCAGTGGTTCTAATCGGAGCTTCGTGGCCCGGCGGAAATTTGTTCCCTTTATTTCACCGACTGGCTTGCCAACTAGCTGCAAGGGCATCAGGCCGGAACCATAGTGCTGGGTACTAAGAGGCGGAGGGAGGTGAGCGCTAATCTCCAGACACCGCCCTCTCGAGCGATTGGCCGGAGGGAGGCTGCTGCAGCCAATGGTCGCTTCGCTAGGACTGCTGCCTTTCAAATTTGTTCTGGCGCTGAGTACCCTGGGCTCCGGGTGCCACTCTGCGCTCCGTGAGGACGTTTCCAGAAGGTGGTCTGCGCAGGTAACCTGCGGTGACTGAGATCAAGGTCACCGCTCCGTGAGTTGGAAGTGGACGTGGACGTGGACTGGGCTGCGTGCTTCAGAGCTGTGGTCGCAGGAGAAACCAAGATCTGAATTTAGAGGTCTGAAAATGTCCTAAATTTCTAATCAAGCCGGATCTGACCCCCATCCCCACCGCCGGTGCGTTGCTGCAAACTGCAGACGATCGGTTCTGGCCCGCGTTAAGTGTGAGCTCCTTGGGGCCGGACAGCATACACTAGCCGAGTGAGGGCTCAGTGAGGGCTTGTTGCACAACTAAGTGACCTCATGAGGTCCAGTGGAAATTGTGATTAAAACAGTAAGATGTACAATGCCAGTTTTTGTCAGTTCTAAGTACTGGGCTTCCTGAGCCAACAGTGCCAGGGCTGGAGCCTTTATTTCCATATTTTAGGAACAGTTCTTTGAGTAGGGTTCAACAGCACCCTTCCCATCCCCCTTTGTAAAACAGAAGAAACTGAATTGGGCACAGGTGAATCGAGTTGGGCGCTTGAGGCCGCAGGACCTAGACTCAAGGCTGTTTCCCTCTGTCCTGGCTCTGACTGGTCAGGTTATTTGCTCTGGCGTCTGCAGTAAGAGGGGCCCTGTTGTAACCACGATGGAGTGGAGTAAAATCAGGGTTAGGAGTCTCAGATCCTGGTCTGAGGCCCGATGGGAACACAGCCAGTGGCACCCTGACAGTTCAGAACCCTGTAAAGCTGAGGCTGGCAGTCCTGTGTGCACGGCCTGCCCTGGGTGTGTGAAGCTATCTCTGACTTTTGCAGATACAGCAGCTGCAATCCTGGGCAAATCTGCAAGTCTCCTGGGGTCAGGCTCCGGACCCCAGGCATGGCGGAGGAGCGGCTGGGGTCCTGGTTTGGCTTCGGATTCTGCGGCTTTGGGCAGGAGCCAGGATCAGGGTGCAGGCACCAGGTGCTCAGCCCTGAGCCTCTGCAGGCGGGTGGGGACATCCGCCATGTGAGCGCCAGCTGGAGCTACACAACCCTGGTGACCCGTGAGTGCCCACCCGCCCCTGCTCTGTCCCCGCACACCTGTCACATGCCTCTTCCAGCCCAACACACCTCACTCCGGATTCCATTCCACTCTCTCCCTGCAGGCGGAGGCCGCGTGGAGCTGTCGGGTTCCACAAGCGGCTCCGCTGGCGGCTGCAGGGACGCGTGGGCCTCCGAGGGGCTCCTCGTGCTGCTGCGTGACAGCCCAGGATCGCAAACAGAGCTGCAGGCCTGGGCACCCAGCTCGGCGCTGTGTGGGGAGCCGCTCTGGGCCCAGGATCCAGAGGCGGATGGAGCTGAGCTGGGCGCAGAGGCCCAGATGGTGATGTTGCCCCTGCTGCCGGGCGCCCGCGCTTACGTGAGTCCGCGGCCGCCCTACCGCCGCAGCCTGGCCCCGGAGCTGCGTGCGCGTCAGCTGGAGCTGGGTGCGGAGCACGTGCTGTTGCTGGACGCAGCCGGCCAGGTCTTCTCCTGGGGTGGGGGCAGGTGAGGCTGCTGGGGTGCAGAGAGGTCAAGGAGGGGACCTTCCCCTGAACCCTGCTGACTGGAGCTTCCTTGCTCAGACATGGACAGCTGGGCCATGGGACACTGGAGGCAGAACTGGAGCCAAGGCTGCTGGAGGCACTGCAGGGCCTGCCCATGGCCCAGGTGGCAGCGGGGGGCTGGCACTCGGTGTGTGTGAGCGGTGAGTGACCTAGGCCTTCTCCAGATCGCTGGCCATCTCCAGGCCAACACCCCTTTTCCTTCCAACAAACCCCAGAGCAGTGGTCCTATGCTTTAGGTGCCCTTCCTGCCTTGGCCACCACACTTTGTCCTGAACTGTGATCGTTGTCTTTTCCTTTTACTGATCGTGAGTGCTATTACCTGTCAGCAGTGAGGGCTGCCTCTACCCAAGGAGTAAGGAATTTGAAGGGTGGGCCACCTGAGAGGGAGAAGATGGCTTCAGGGCGGAGGGGACACAGGGACACCTGCAGGGAGGATGGCAGTGGCCAGCATGGGAGGAGGTGCAAGGAGGGCATCAGAGGTAGGCTGCTTCTGAGCTTGGGCCCTCATAGAGAGGGTGGGGCTGGGCACAGTCTCAGGGTCCAACACAGCCATTATTTAGCTCTCCTAGGGCTTTAGCCACCACCGCCTCCTCTCCCTGGCTGTGCCCCTCTCTCATGCCTTGGGCCTGGGAGGGCACCTGAGTGGGAGAATGCTGGGCAGGGCAGCAGGTGGAATGCAGAGGGGTGGAAACCGCCCAGCCCATGGGAAGAGTCACACGTGAGGTCCAGGAGTTTTAGGCCTCGAGCTTGGAGCAGAAGTTGAAGGCCACAATCTATGCTTCTGGGTTCCAGATCCTCACTGGTGTGTGACCTCAGGCTGGTTCTTACCTTCTGTGCCTCTGCTCTCTTGAGTAAAGCGAGGCTACTGTATAAGATGGTCACACTGTAAAAGAGCTCCCTGCAGGGCTGTGGTGAGAATTGATTGATTGCACAGTATTTGAAAAGCACATAAAACATCAGCCCAGGTGGAGCCCTTTGTACAATGAGCTACCATAGCTGGACCCTCCCATGTGGGGTTTCAGAGGCCTGGGGGGACAAAGGGCAGAGGCACAGGCTGCCCTATGAGGTTCACAGGGGACGTTGGGGAAGTTCCACTGACAGGTGGTGTGGTTTAGTAACATAAGACTGAAAATGGAAGAGGCAGGCTGGCCAGCAAGGGAGTTTGCTTAACAAAGGGTGACCAGAGGTGTGGAGGGCAGGGAACCTGACACACAGCAGGGGGTCTGAGGGGTGGGCACCTTTGTCTGGCAGGCTGCAGGCCATATAGGTCCCCCAGAAATTGATGACAGGAGGCTTAGGGCAGCGTGGAGGGATGGAGGAGGGCTCAGCCTGCTTCCTGGATACCCTTGATGCCTTTCAGAGACCAGGGACCTTTATATCTGGGGCTGGAATGAATCAGGGCAGCTGGCCTTGCCCACAAGGAGCCTGGCAGAAGACAAGAGGACAGTCACAGGGGAAGGTGAGGGTCAGCCCCACCCGGGCTGCTGCTATCATTCCTGACTCCCACCTTCAGGAGGGGCATGTGACATCCTTGTCACCTGGGATTCAGAGCCCCTTTCAGCTGGAGCATTGGCAAAGCTGATGCCAGTGCTGGTTGGCGCCACTAAGCTTCAAGGCTGCCACCTCTTTCTTCCCATTGTTAGAGCTGGGAGCAGCAGCGAGGGCTGGGGAATAAGGTGCTGCTCAGGGGTGTTGCAGTGAGGAGTATGATGGGGTCTGGCTCAGTGTTACACACCCTCAAAACCATTCCCCTCTACAGGCCTGAACCAAGATGGCTCTGAAGTAGAGAGAGCGGCCAGGGCTGAGGGTGGAGCCTCTGCCCCCTTCATAGCTGTCCAGCCCTTCCCTGCGCTGCTGGACCTTCCCCTGGGTTCGGAGGCAGTTGGGGCCAGCTGTGGATCCAGGCACACAGCTGTGGTGACACGTGAGTAGGGACAGGCGGGCTGGTTCAGGATGGAGCAAGGTAGCACTCTTGCTGGGGGATGCAAAAAATGGTGGCAATTTCAAAACAAAAAAAAAATTTTTTTTTCTTGTGCTGGGGACTACCCCACAGCTTTGAACATGCTAACTGAGGTACACCCCCAGCCTATAATCCCAACACTCTAGGAGGATCTGTTTGAGTCCAACCTGGACAATTTAGCCAGACCTCGTCTCAAAGTAAAAAAATAAAGTTGGGCATGGTGGCACATGCCTGTAATCCCAGCACTTGGGAGGCTGAGGCAGGAGGATCACTGAGAGTTTGAGGCCAGCCTGGGCTCCATAGTGACTTCAAGGCCTGAACTACATAGTGGGACTACTTCAAGATATATCTATATCTATATATAGATATAGATAATAGGCTGGGGATATAGCTCGTTGGTACAGTGTCTGCCTGGCATGGGCAAGGTCCTGAGTTTGATTTCTGGTTAAGAAAAAATAGAAAAAAAAAAAAAAATACAAGGGATAGGGCCTGGGCTGGTGAGATGGCTCAGTGGTCTAAAGCACCTACTTAGAACAAGCTTAACAAAGCAGAGGGACCACGGTTCAATCCCCCAGCACCACATGCCAGACAGCCCCGCCCCCTGGTGGGCTGAGCTGGCCACACACACACACACACACACACACACACACACACATAAATAAATATTAAAAAAAAAAAAAAAAAAAAAGGGATAGGGCCTTAGCTCAGTGCCACAACCCTAGGTTCAGTCCTCAGGACTTTCAAACCCCACAGACGTGCCTGTGTTGAGGCATCTTTACTACATGCTGCGGAGGCGTCTCGCTCATCAGGTCTAGCCTCGCTGCCCCTGTAGTTTAACAGTGGCTCCCAGCCGGTCAGGCCCAGAAGGCTGCCCCTGCTGGGGAAACTGATGTTCTTCATCTGCTCATCAGGGCTCCAGGCGGGGCTCAAACAGCTTCCATGCTGGCACAGCTCAGCATCTGTGAGATGCAGGCCCATAGGTGACAGATGGGACAGCTTGTCTGTCAGCTTCTCCCTTACCACAGCACCAGTGCTTGGACGCTCAAAGAGGAGGCTGCTCTTCACCAAGCCCATGTCTCGGGGTTGGAACCTGCGAGCTATGGCTTGAACTGGCCAGGCCAAGAACAGTAGTGACTGTTTTGCTGTTCTTTTTTGGTTGCAGGAACAGGAGAGCTCTACACCTGGGGCTGGGGTAAGTACAAGTACTTTTTGAGACAAGTTCTTGCTATATTCAAGCTGGCCTTGAGCTCTCAGCAATCCTCCTGTCTCAGCCTCATGAGTGCTGAGATTACAGGTGTGCACCACCATTTCCAGCTAAAAGATTGCTTTATGTGACCCTTAAGCCAAGGAAAGGAAAGACTTGGGAGGACAGGATGGGTGGCAAAAAGCTACAAGCTACAGGAAATGGGGGCTTTGGCTGAACATGGGGAGGAATTGGATTGAAATGCTATGTATCTGCCCTAGGGAGAATAGATCTAGGCATACTCAGAAAGTCCAAGATCAGATGATGGAGAAATAGGAGATGACATCAGTACTGCCCACTCTACCTTTCTGATGGAGCATTTAGCCGGCAGTGTCATTCTGGCTCTGGGTAGAGAAAAGATAGAGCCTGAGGCCTGACATGGTGCGCGGTGCAGGTAGCCCCAAAGCCTGGAGGAAGCTCTTCCTGCTTCCGCCCCTGGGCTTGCCTGGCGCTGGAGCCTTCTAGCACTGGCTCCTGAATTTTCAGAGCAGCAGGAGAGCAGAGGACAGGATTGCTTCTGAGAGACAAGACACCAAAAGGGCTCATTTGGCTTTAGGTAAATATGGACAGCTTGGCCACCAGGACAGCACCAGCTTGGACCGGCCCTGCCGTGTGGAATACTTTGTAGAGAAACAACTCCAAGTCAAAACTGTTACCTGTGGGCCCTGGAACACGTATGTGTATGCTGTGGAGAACAGGAACGGCTAATGTATGGTTACATGTCTGTTTCAAGTTATAAAAACAGAAAAGTACATACAACAACTTTACAGTGTATTGAAAATGACAAGGCTAACACTTGTCATTTACCTGCTCTAGTAAGAGAAACCCAAGGTCGTGCCTGCCCCTGCTTATTGCAGCCTGGCCTTTCTCCACCACTATACAGTGGGAAACTGAGAGCGCTGTCCCCAGGCTGGGCCTCAGGGGATGTCACCCAGATGATTGTGATATATGGCAGACTGGGGACCGCTAGAGGTCATTTATTGCCATTTATGTCCTTGTTTAATTCAGAACTTTACCACCTTAGATGCATCCTTATACAATAAATCCCCAATTTATGAACAGGTTCTATTCTGGGAGAATGTTCATAAGTCAGATTTAATTCTGAGTCTGACAAAGTGAGTATTATACAGTGCACCTATGAAAGTTCGCAACTCAAATGTTTATAAATTGGGGACTTTCTGTGTAATAGTTTGTCTGCTTCTGAACATCAGGTAATCATTGTGAATGTTACTTTTTCAATATAATATCAAATGATAATTTTAATATAGTATTAAATAATAAAAGGTCTTGCTACGCAGCTCAGACTCATGATCCTCCTGTCTCAGCCTCCCCAGCAGTGGGATTACAGGCAAGTGCCACCACACCCAGTATTGAGGTCGGTACAGCATGTGCTACCAGGGATCGAACTCGGGTCCTTGCATTTGCCAGGCAGGCACTTAGACCACCAAGCTATCTCCCCAGCCTGTATATGTTATTTTGTTTTGGATACAGGGCCTTGCTGTGTAGCCCAGGCTAGACTTGAACTCGTGGCCTGGGATTAGACATGTGCCAGCACACCTGACCTTCATTTTGAATTTATTTATTTATTTATTTATTTATTTTGTGTGTGGCCAGCTCAGCCCACCAGGGGGCGGGGCTGGCTGGCATGTGGTGCTGGGGGATTGAACCAAGGTCCATGTGTTTTGCTAAGCTTGTTCTAAGTAGGTGCTTTAGACCACTGAGCCACCTCACCAGCCCCTGACCTTCATTTTGTGTATGTTCTTCTCTAACATTTCCGTGTGTGATCCATGTGTTATATTCTGAAGGCCATCCATTTGTACTCAATAAGGTGTTCCATTGTGTGAAAAAAGTCCTAAACTCTGTATTTTCATTGATGATTCTTTTTCTTTTCATTGATGGTTCTTTTGTTGTCTCTGCTAGTCCTTCGATGGGCACTCTTGGGCATACGTACATGGGTTCTGCAGACATTCACAATAGAGACAGCTTTAACTTTACTACATGCCATTCAAACCAGCATCAGTGTGGGGTTTGCTGTGGTTCCAGTTGTTGTTGTTTTAAGAACTGTATTAACAGGTGCTTGCAGTTTGTTGACTTTTTTGAAAAAAATCAAGTTGTAAACTTTTATTACAAATTAAGCCAGGCAAGGGGCCGGGGAGATGGCTCAGTAGAATAAGCGCTTGCCTGGCAAGCACAAGGGCCTGAGTTCAATCCCCGGTTCCGCAAAACAAACAAAAAACATAAATAAAGTTCTTAAAAATCTCGACTAGATATGAAACAATTTAAAAACCTTTAAAGGTGTATTGAGAAAAACCAGGCTTTTTTAAAAAAACACGTTTGTCATTACCAAAAAGAGACGTCTTTAGGTAAAAATAATAACCCCACGCTGCATAGATAATGCAGATAGTTCTAGTTATCTGGTCAACGGGCAAAAAGCAAGCACTGAAGGTCTTCAGTTCCAATCTTTCGTTCATTTTTTTATAGACTTTTTGATCATAGACTTTTTATTTATTTGTGTGTGTGTGTGTGTGTGTGTGTGTGTGTGTGTGTGTGGCCAGCTCAGCCCACCAGGAGGCAGGGCTGGCTGGCATGTGGTGCTGGGGGATTGAACCGCGGTCCCTGTGCTTTGTTAAGCTTGTTCTAAGTAGGTGCTTTAGACCACTGAGCCATCTTACCAGCCCTCGTTCATTTCTTATTGCTGAATTTCCTATTAGTTTCTTTCTTTCTGGATGACTAAACCGGATTATGGTAGAGATGTTAAACTGGCGTTTACTCAGCCCCACCGCGGACGAATTCTCGGCTGGTGGATCAGCTGCTTTTGTCTCTTTGCTATCTTGTGGTTTAGGGTTTTCTGGGCGTCTGCGTTGGTAATTGAGGTTGCGATGGTACCGACGTTGAGGTGGCTGCTGACCTTGGGGCTCATCTCCTTGATTTTCCTTATCTTCTCCATTGCCATCCTCTCTAGGCTGTCTTTGGCGAGGAGGGCCCCTGCGGAATCGCGGTCTATGACCTCAATCCATATTCTTTTTTTTTTTTTGGTGGAACCAGGGATTGAACTCAGGCCCTTGTGCTTCTGGCAAGCGCATATTCCACTGAGCCATCTCCCCAGCCCTCGATCCATATTCTGGATCCCTTGTCTACCTTGTTCTCCTGCACCCTGGCTGTCAGCACCCTCCATCACTTCTCGCACAGGAGGGTTGGAATACCGTGGTGGACGCCCATCGGGTCTCTGTATGTAGTAAGGGTGGGAACCTTCGCCCGCGGTAGGGCCGGCATGGCTGGGCCTGGCCTTCGGGCGCGCTCTCGGATCCCTCATTCTTTTCTCCACTCTCACTATTCTGGTAATTGCGTGGAGGACCCCTACGATGTGGATAGCTAATGGTTACGGTCTGCTGCGTATTTACTGCCTTGAACTGGAACTCCACCAGGGCCTGTAACATTTGCTGCCTCTGCACCCTTTTCTCCTTCAACCAAACTCCACAGTCTCTCCATCTCCTACAGTGCGAAGGTACTTCCTGGGGTTATTCTTCTGTATGGGTGCTGCCAGTGGTGCGCGGCTCAGTGTCAGCAGCGCGCGGACGGGGGGCGGGCCGGTCTCGGCCTCGCTGCTCATGGTTGCGGTGATGGTGACTGGGGCCGGCTGCGCGGCGGTGGGGCTGCTCAGGGCTCTCTTGGGTCTGCTCTCCGCTCCTGTTACCAATCGAACTTGCGGTTCCAATTTTAGATAGATGCACAACAGCTTTAATTTGCAATTCCCCAAGCCTGGAGGGCTTTTCATTTGTTTACTGTTGGTTGGGAGTTTTTCTGTGGTCAAGTATCTGTTCAAGTCTTCTAACCCCACTAAAATTTTTTGTATTATTTTGTGATTTGTATTCTTAAAAGAATTTGGTGATACTTTTGGCTTTATGTCTGTGGAAGCTGTTTCAGCCAGAAGGGTCTGTACTTTAGTGAAAGGGCCTACTATAATGGGCCACCTCTTTTTGTGTCTATCAGACTATAGGCCCAATCAGACTATTTTAGCTATAAATCTTGTGATAGGTGTTATCTATTTGTAGAGAGGGATTTGTGCTTAGCTCTGTAGATTCTTTGGGACACTATCACATCCTTTTGTGACAGATTTTGTAAATATTTTTCCTGCTTTGTCAGCTGTCCTTTGACTTTGATAGTTGGTTTCCCTTCCCTTGCAAATGTTTTTGTGTCCAAACTTACTGGTCTTTGTTTCATGTGCCTTTTTTGAGAGTTTCACTCTGCAGTTCAGGCTGGCCTTGAACTCGAGAGGATGCTCTGGCCTGAGCCTCCTGAGTGCTAGGATCAAAGTAAACATCTGTGCCCCCACTGCCAGCCCTGTGATTTTTGAGTCAAAGAAAACCTTTCTCATACCACTTCATAGAGGAACTCAACCTTCAGTTGTATTTTCTTGTGCCATTTATCTTATTTTATACTTAAATCCTTGACTTATGTGTGTATTCATGCATATAATATTACGAATGTAGGGGGCCGGGGAGATAGAATAAGTGCTTGCCTGGCAAGCACAAGGGCCTGAGTTCAATCCCCAGTTCTGCAAAAAAAAAAAAGTGCCTTATTGATTTTTTGCGATGACTGACCAGCACCCTGGGGGTCTGAAACGCCATGGCTGTTAGGGTCTGGATCTAAAATGTCACCTAAAGGCTCCGTTTGGAGATGGGGCTTTGGCAAAGTGATCAGATCACAAGGACCCTAACTTTGTCAGAAGATTGATGTATCCATGAGCTCACAGCTCAATGGGCTGCTCACTCGGGGCATTGCCTTTGAATTCTTTCCTGGGTGCCAGAGAAGTGAGCTATTCTCTGCCACTCTCTGCTGTGTTTCCAACAGAGGCCTGGAATCAATGGACTGGCCAACCACAGATTAAAACATCTGAAACCGTAAGCCAGAGTACACCTTTATTATAAACTAATGTCCTCTTTTAGTTGAATCTACTTCTGAGCCTTTCTTCATTAGTCTGTACCACACTGCATTAATCACAGAACTTCATGGTAGGTTTTGTTCTGATAGAGGTTGTAGCTCTGTTAGCCCATTTGCTTGTCCTGAATTTTGCCCTGGAGTGCACTGAGATGGAGATTGAGATTGAGACTGGTGTGGTGGTGCACACCTGTAATCCCAGCACCTGGGAGGCTGAAAACAGGAGGATCACTATGAGTCCAATCTGTTTGGTGAGACCCTGTAGAATCTACTAAATATATTTTAAAAAAGCCAAGACCCTGAGACAGGGTCTTGTTATATAGTTCAGGCTGCCCTTGAACTTGCAGTGATCTTCCTGCTTCAGCCTTCCAAGTGCTAGGGATTATAGACCTATACCACCAGGTCTGTATTTCTTTTTTTATTTCTTTTCATTAATTTTATTGAGAAACAGCAATGAGATAGTTTCAAAACCGGTTAATAGGACATTTTCAATAATTAATACTTTGCATATTGTTGTCTTCCTAGTGGTTGTTCATAGTACAAGATACAGACATATCTTGTCTAAACACTATTAGTAAAAATCTCATTGAAGAGACAGTAGCTGTATATCTATCCTATTTCGTATATATTTTTATTGTATATACAAATTAAAAATTGTCCTTAATTTATCCCTTTTGTTTAGTTTTCTCAGAGATGGGTATTCCATGCCATTTAAATACTGTGGGTGTGTGAACTCAGCAAAATATTACAATATACTCCAGTAGTCTATAATAGTAGTGGGTTATCCATCAGACTGGCAATGTGAGAAATTGTTGACTTAAGCCCTTCACAGCTCAGCTTAAGAATATGGTTTTACTTTTCATACCTCCTTATACTTTTCTTTTTTTTGTTGTTTTTTCCATAATTTTACTGAGAAACAAATAGCAATGAGATAGTTTCAAATCAAATTGGTAGGACAGTTTCATTCTTCTTCGTGGTTAATTGCTATACAAGATGGGGACAAGATATCCTGTTTACAAACACCATTAGAACAAATCTCTCTATTAAGAGACTGTAACTATGTATCTATCCTAACCACTTTGAATACACAGATACAAAATGGACATTCATCTGTATCCCCTTTTTTTGTTAAGTTCCGTTATTTGAATATTATAG